GCCTGTGTCATGGTGCCAGAGCCAGAATCGCTCCAGTCCGGCTCGACTCGGCTTCCTGGTTCCTTCCGTTCCGTTTATCGAATCGGAAGCTAGGCTCGGCTCAGCATGGCTCGGCTCGGCTAGAAACGACCTCCTAATGTTTGACAAAGACACGCGGAAGCTCACTCGTTCGGTCGACAGGGTCGTTTTAAGACTGTATTCGGAACCTGTCTAACGGCAAAGCCCGTCCCCGCATCCCGTCGTCCCCGTCCCATCGGCCGCGCTTGCCGGCGGCGCAGCAGCAGCAGCGGGGTGTGCCGTTTATCATTAGTTAAATACGTATAATCAATTGTCAACAGCACAAGGTTCACCTTCCACAACTTTAGTTCGCCCTCGTAGAACCCACCGCCTGCTATTAACTTGTATTTCACTTTTCACCCGTCTGCGCCGGGAGGCTGCCGCCGGTGTGGCTGTTGCTGTTCGCGCCGCAAACAGGAATATCTCCCCCTCGACCCGAGCGGGCTGATAACAAGGGCGTGATAATATCTCTCACCCCTTAAAGCTGCACTCATACACACTACGATACCGTGATCCCTTATTTGCTCTAGAGGGCGTTTGTTTGCGGCATAAACGATTCAAAGAGAAGGAAAAACGGCGTCTAGGATATAGTAGAAAATTTCCGAAATATTCCGGAAAATTTTCGAAAAATTCCCGAAAATTTACGGAAAATAACGGAAACTTTCAAAAGTTTTGGAAATTTTTAATTTCTCCCCGGAAATATTCCGTTTTTTCCCGAAATTTTCCGGAAACTTTCCAGGGCTTCCAACCCTATTCTAGGCGTTCGCCCTGGGCAAGGACGCGCCGCCGGACTGAAAGGTCTTTGTCCGAGTCAGAGGCGCGTTTACGACGTCGTCGTCGAGGAGAAGGAGGGTAGTGGCGGTAGGAAGCAGCAGCAGCAGCAACAGCAGCAGTGTGGGAACGAGGAGGAAAATGAAAAGTTTGCCTTCAGCAGCGCGCGCGCCTGCGCGCCTTCAGCGGCACGAGCGCGCCATCACGCGCTGGCAGGTTATCTCGTGGCCTACCGGCGGCGGTGACGTCAGGCCGCCCATCACGCGCGACTAGAAGAAGCTAAAATCCACCCGCCGCGCGCCCGCGGCGTAGGGGCCCAACAAACCGGGGGCGGGCGGGCGAAGCAGAGTGACAGTTCAAACACCACCCAACACCACCGGCAGCAACCGGCAGGCGCCCCCGCCGCCCGCCACCGGTGCGGCAGACCGAGTGTTTGTTTGCGGCCGAGCTAGCCGCCGGCCCCATTCAGTTCAGCGCGTGCTGTTCAGCTTCGGGGTCTCCAGGAAGCTCTGCAACAATCGCCCGCTAATGGGGCGGGGTGTATGCGCCCGCGGAAACACACTTCAACTCGAAGGGGATAAGGCTGGGCGGCGGACGCCGCCAGGGACGACTAATGGGCCGTTTCCACCTCGAACTCCGCGGCGCGACTCAGTAAGAGATGTGAACGGGTGACGACGGACCGTGAAACACATTGTCCTAGTGTGTATGCGAAATCATCATGCGCACATGACGTCATCTTTTCGCGCCGTCTTCCGCCGCCGTTGGCGAAGCGGAAAGGCATTTAATGACGATTCCTTATTTTAACGGGGTGGCTTTTCCTTTCGTCAACGGCTTCTTTGCAATCCTTGCCCATTCTTTACCCCCGCCTCCCGAGAGATTGAGTGATATGAGCCCCCTTTATAGTCCTGGCGCCGAGACGTACCGAGACCAACAGAACGACCAGAGATATTCAAATTTCGCCGCCCAATTATCATCCAGCCGACTCTGTTCTCTGTCTCCGCCGCTGTCTGTTGTTGTTTTTCCTCTTTTCGTCACCGCGGCGCCCGCTGCCCTTGCGTGCGGGCCGAGCGTGTGAAAGGCATCGATTATTCGGAATCCGGAATACTACAGTGAATTTGAAATGACGCGGGCAAAAGAGAGAGATTATGGTGGCGTCCAGTGTCCAGCATTATCCATGCAGCGCACGACACTTGTGGGGCGGTTTGTGAGGATTGGGGGGCGTCGACCCAGCCCAGCGGGGGCTCTGTGTGAACTGGGGGCTCTGTGTGAACTCTATGGCCCTATTGGCCCCCCTTGGGTCTTACACGGAAGCACGGAAGTAGTTGAGGTGGACACACACCGACCCACCGACTAGTTGAGTGTGTCAATCCATTGGAGCTTGTACCGGGTCGCTGCAAAACCCCTTGGTTGGCGCCTGGCCGGCGCGCATGCTTGTTGGCAGGTTGCCTACTCGCGGCCTGGTTGGAGCGAGGTACATAGGCAAGCCGATTGCACTTAGATTTCAGCACCATGTGTTTGGCCTACGACACGCGGTATCGTTCAACCGCTGCAGGTCGGCAATGCTGAATAGCAAAAGGTATCAAGCAAGGCATCGACAGTTGGTTTTTTTTTGGGGGGGGAGGGGGTAAATTACCTAGATAGACACATAACGGTAGGTGGCGCGCCATCGCGAACACTAGTGGAACGAACAAGCATTTTGTTATTTTGTGGGACGGACGCGTGACCGGCGCGCTGTGTTCGTGCGGCGCTTGTGCCGCTCGGCCCGCACGAACAGCTGGCCGAGCGGGGTAGGGGGCCGATGGGGGGCCCGGCCCGCGGGGCTGCATGTCCGTTATCAGTGATGGATTCCGGGTAGCGACGCCGAAGGACGAACGGGCGCTGGCGCTGAGGGTGTTCGCTGCCCTGCGCGGACTTCCTGCTCGAGTGCGGGTGGACGGCCGGCGGTGGAGGGACACACGAGGCCCTGCTGGGTGCGGTGGACTCTTTGGAGGACCTCCTTCCGCGGGAGATTGTCGGGACCAGGAAGGCCCGAAGAACTTTTTTGTCAAGGGCCAGCAGCAGGACGGCACGGCAGGGACGTCCGCTTTGACCTGTCCGACCCCGAGCTGGCCGACGGCGCGGTTCGAGTCCTGCAGGCGCGCGCGGCCCGCCATATCGACCCGCCCGTGTCGTGCCGCCGCCAGAGCGGCCGGCGAGTGGACGCGGGCGCATATTCAGCGTGACGAGTGGACTGCGGTCGGGAAAAGAGAAAGGAAGCACGAGGGAGGGAAGGGAAGGGGAAAGAGGGGGGGAGGGATGGGAAATTGCGATCGATGTGTTTCTGTGTGTGTGTGGTTAGGATCGGAGAGAGAGAGAGAGGGGGGGGGGGGTGAGAAGAGTGAACGGGACTGTTTGTGTGCACGGACCGCCTGGTGCTAAGGGCCTGTGGCGGCCCGAAGGGCGGCCGCTTTACTTAGGGGGCTCCAGAGAGGAGGGCGAGTGGAGTGGTGCCGTCCCATTGATCTGGCTAGTCCAGTCCACACCAGTATCGAACCGCGGTACTGTCAGTATGCCTTCATAGCGGTCATCCCTAAGCGCGTGGCGTAGCGGGGCGGGGCAGGGCGGGGCACGGCGGGGTGGGGCGGGGCGCTGACCGAGGCGGCAACCCCCTCGACGTGCCCTTCCGCCGCCCCTTGCTCCCCTTCTCCCGCGGTGCGCGGTGCACTCGCCACGCCCTGCTGCAGCCAGAAGGATCTCGCCCGCCCGCGACGGCTGACCGCGGAGATTACGAGCGATACAGCTGGACTCGCAGTTGAGCCGCTCCTGCTGCGGCGCCGTGCGGCGCGCACCGCGCCTGACTTTGTAGGATAATAATTGCTGATCCCTCGCTGTGCCCGCCGGTCTCGCACAGCCACCTGGATTACCTGGTCCTGGCCTGGCCGTGATGTCATGCCAGAGGGGCATGTAGCCTGTCTCTATAGCGCGGGCGAAACAAACGACTCGCAGAGATCTCGTGTACAACTGATTAAACACCCCTTGGATTACGCCTCAAGATTGACGCCGGATAACCCCTCAATTACCCTCTATAAACCCTCGGGATAAACACCAGATTACGCTCGGATTCACCCTCGCATTACACCGGATTGACACAGACCACAGATCACCAAAAAAGTATTTCACCTTCGGTCTGCGAGGCCGTACCTGGTCGTGATGCCAGAAAGATCCGCACGCGCTACATAGTCCTTCAGTCTGAAACGTGATAGACAGTCCCTGCCCGGAGGTGCCGCGAGGCTCCGCGTGCATTGCAGTCCCTCAGTTTTAGCCGTGCTGTGCGAGAGAGACAGTCTCTCTAAGGCATGGCCGGCCGCGAGCTAGAGAGACAGTCTCTCCAAGGCATGCCCGGCCGCGAGCTAGAGAGACAGTCTCTCCAAGGCATGCCCGGCCGCGAGCTAGAGAGACAGTCTCTCTAAGGAGCGCCCGGCCGGGAGGCGCCGCGCGCGCACGCTCCAGCCAGTACGGCCGGCTGAGCCTCCTAGACTCATCGCGACGCAGGCAAGGAGAGTCTTATTGCTTCTGCCCAGCCTTGAATTTGAAATGCACGGGTGGGGCGGGGCGAGGCGGGGCGGGGCCACAGTGAGTCCGTCCCGTCCCGTCCCATCCTTGCCCGGGCCGCGCCACGCACCTGCGTTGCATCACGGAGGGGCCCGGCCCGGTCGCCTCCTGCGCCCGTCGCCACGGCCAAAGCCACTGCACCGTCGTCCGCCGTCGTCAACACGTTTTAAGTGTTTCGAGTGTTTCCGTCGAGGAGTGGGCTGCCGGCCGTGCGACTGCGACGACGGGTCCCTCCTAGTCTGTGGTGCACCCCGAAAAAAGAAGATGCTAATAATACTGAAGACACAAGTTTCGACGAATTAAATGTGTTTAGTTTGACTCTGACTTTAGAAGTGTTTGTTTCAAAACTTGCGTTGACACACTAGCAAAAAAGAAATTACATCTGATTTTGAACATTACTTGGTGTTAAACTGAGTTGCACACTTCGTAGTCGTAGTGTGCAATTCTTAAACATTGATCAACTATTGCGAATGTTTGCGAATGTCTTATATTTTTATGGCCACCAGTCGACGGCTGGTTTAGTCCGACACTTTGAAGTGTACTGTATAAACTTTATACACATTTGCAACTGCGCATCATTTGCTGTACAACAAACTACATTTCTGTTACCTTCCAGTGCGGGGTGAACCGCAAACTCCGGAACAGCTTGTAGTTGTTATTACTGTTCGCATGCCGGCGTGCAGGCAGGAGAATTTTGCCAAACCGTTACTTCTTAACTGTGCAAAAATGTCTCTCGGAACCAGAGTTAACCCCTTCCCTCTGAAACAACCGGTAATAACAATCCCGGTGACCCTGCGCGCGCGCCCTGCGCCCGACCGGGGGCGAGTGAGGGAGAGGGGGGGGGGGCGTCACTCGCCTTCATTCCATGATGTGTGCTGTGCTGTTATTCCCCGCACACGAACGTCTGTTGTTTTCTTTCCAGTTTGTTTGATAAATAAACGCCGCAGCCAGTCGCCCGACACACCACTCACACGCAAATGCACGTGTTGTGTTCACATGATCGCCCCCCCCCCTCACCCCCCTCGCTCCACACACACACACACACCAACGCTAGTGCGTTTTGCGACCGTACACGCAGCCAAGGATTTAAGGCTCTGTCATATGGAGCGGGGTCCAGGCAGGAGGGGGGGGGGGGGGTGAGAGCGAATGAGTTCAGTTTATTGCGCCCCCCCCCCCCCCTCGCCTACCTGCCCCCGTTCCTCTCGGGTCGCTACTACTCCATGTCGCACAGGGCCCTAACTCATACTCCCCGCAGCCGCTGCTCACATGCGCCTTGCCGCCAATGAGGATAGAAGCGCTGCAGCGAGGCGAGTGTAGTCAGCGCGGCAGTCTTCTTGCAAAACCACCGCCGAACATTGCGGTCGGCGGGCGAGATTTCGCGCGGAACGGCGCAGCGCGCAGCGGCTCCCTCGTCCGCAAAAACTGCCATTACAGTGCGAAAGGTATAGAAAGAACTAGACAACAAGATGCAGCTCTCTAAAATCACGTTTTTTGTCATTGTTTTCGGAACGCTCTTCTCCGCTTTGTAAAAGCGGGGGCTTATTGTGCGTCTAATAGCCCGGGGGGCTGTCAGTTCGTTCCCTAGGGAGGACTTGAGCTCGCTGCCAGAGAATTTCAGGGTATCTTAAAAATTGACCGGAAAGTTCGTCCTTTTCTCTCATATTCATTCGGCAAAGGAAAAGTATTCTGGGATCTCAGCGCCTGCGAGACTCAGGATAGGCCACCCCGCAGCACACCCATGCGGCGCAGCCAAGATGTCGCCTACCTACCAGGCGCTATGAAAGCTGGCAGACCGCGGCAGACACTAAACTTGGCAAGTTCGTAACGGCGTAATTTCTGGGTGATCCCTCAAAGATCAGGCCTCGCCGGCAGGCCAAGCAGGCCCGGCCCCTGCCGAACGGAGTTGCCAACACGGCGGAAGCTAGCAACTCCGTTTGGCGGAAGGGCGGGCCTGCTTGTTTGTCGTTGCAGGTCGTCGACTGCCTTGTCACGGCGAGCCCGGCCGAGACCGGGATCAAGCCGAGGCCGAGAGTCAACCTCCAGCGCTGGTGGTGGGTTCACGAGATCTCGGGCCGGCCAAGCTAACCGGGTCGCCCCGGGCTCGGCGGACCTGGCCGTTCTATCTGGAGCGCAGACCAGATTCCCGGCCGTCGTCGCCGCGCCGTTTTCTCCCAGCCTTGCCGTAAAGGTCGCCTCTACGGCGGTAGCGGCGCTGCGCCTTGCTGCGCCTTGCAGTGGACACGCCCCTCACCACCCCCACCCCCCTCGCCGCTCGGGCGCGCCACCTCCCCGTCGTCGCGGTCGCCCTCCTCCTCCGCCTCTACTCCTCCTCCACCTCCTCCACGACAACTTAGCCGGGTGTGCGACCTCCCCGAAGAACCCCCCGTCCCGACCGACGGCTCGCTCACACGTTGTGACAACCCGGCCGCCCCCTTCCCCTTTTCACACCCTCCTCCGTCCCGACCCCAACAACAACAACAACGTCGATGCGACGCCGTTCCACACAGTTCCACACCAACCTGTGGCAGGGTGGTGCGATGGTGGCGTCCGCGTGTGACTCAGGGGGCCCGCGTATCCTGGTCGTCGTCGTCGTCGGGATGCAGCGGCGAGGCGGTGGTGTCGCGTCGGCGAGGTGCCCGCGCGGTGCTGGCGGCCGCCCTGGCCGCCCTGCTGGTGGTGGTGCGGGCGCACGCCGCGCCCCTCGGCCTCCTCCTCGGGGCCGCCGTCGGCGACGCTCGGCCCCGGCCTCCCGCCGTCATCCGGCGAATACGTGCGGGTTGGCGCGCGCGCACGGGAGGGTGTCCGTCCAGGCGGTCCAGGGACGGCGCAGGCGGCTTGGATATCCTGAATAACCTGTTGCTGTCCAGTCCCCTCTCACAAACACACACCGACGCGCACGGACTCAAACACACACACCCACACGCACGCCGCTGCAGCGTGTTCTCGCGAACTCGTGTCCTGGCCGGCCTCTCGCGGCTCTGGCGCTGCCCGGCCGCCTCTCCACACCAGCAGCTGTTCAACTGAGCTGGGCCGGCCGGGCCCGCGCCGTTGGGCCCCTCGCCGCTCCGCGCCCCGCCACGCCCCGCCACGCCCCGCCACGCCGCGCCTCGGGTCGCCGGCCTGCCTGCCTGCCAGCTCGGGCGGGCCGGTCGAGCAGCACGACGCTCGAGGGGGCCGGGGCCGTCGCGACGCCGGCGAGAGGG